AAACATTTTGGTATTATAAGGTCATTTATTTCTAGTATTAATATGTCTTCTATACACCAATATAGACTACCGAAATTAAATAATAAACAAATTCCATGATGGTGCTACGGTAAGAAGAACAACAGAGTCTACAAATATTTCCTGTGTTGTGAGCTTGGGAAACCTTATACTAGGCTTGGAAAAAGACCCTGTTCACATTGAAACTCTGTTATTGTAACAGAAACATTCTCATCAAGTTATGAAACTGTATCCTCTAACAGTAAATATTGGATATTGTGATATTTTCAGGAAGATAACCATCTTTAGACTGGGGAAACAACTCATATAGGCTGTACATGTGATACAGCTAATACATTAGATCCAGAAGAAACTAAGCTAACTCGTTTAGATATTATGTAATGTGATCCCAACACTATGTCTAGGTTTGTTTTGGTTGTTGTTAAGCGTAAAATTACACATTAATATATATGTGCTCTGTTTACCACGGATATCAGAATGTGAAACTGGGGGAAATTAATTCAAATTCGAAAAAATGGAATATACTATACTTAAGGGAGATTTCTTTACAAAGGGGGGGTGGGGATTTCCCCTGCACACCCGCTGAATTCTCCATGGGTATCGAAACCAGATGTTTAGCGTCGTAAGCCTGCTGATTTTCCGCTGAGCCACTGGGTAACACTAGATCTAACAGAAGCTAAGCTATCTAGCTAAAATATCACGTAATGTGTTGTTGTTGGGTTTTTTAAATCATAAAATGAAAGAGAAGTTTATCATTATTGTTAAGTTTCTATTGCAGGAAATACTTTTCAACATATAACTTACGAGTTTTGTATAACGCAACATTAAACAGCAATAAATGAACCTAACAGCTAGTGTTTGTTGTACCATATGTGAGACATGCTCTATTTTTCTTTCATTAATAATATTTGTTAGAATGTTTAATATATCTAATTCTATTATTTTTGATTTGCATCAATCGTAATTTTTGTTATTATACTTTTATTATAGAGGTCGTTTGCGTTGTTAGTTTAATATATGGACATGAGACTAATTTAAAACTCCTAAGCTGGTCGAACTTCGTGAGATATTGGACTTACGGCCAAAAATATCATCAACAGTGATTGTACTGTACTGATGGAACAATGTACTCTAATCTCTATAAGTAAGATCATAAGAAAAGTATGTTTAATTAGCTGTACTCATCACTAGGTTGATTTTTTTTTCGGTTTAAGTAGGTAGCTTGCTCTGATCGGAAGATAATATTGATAACACAAAAGATGTGACATACGGTGTTTGGTGTGCAGTAACATAAAAGTGTTTAGTGTATTTTAAAACAAGGAAGGAGCATTTGGTGTCTTAGAGTACTTGGAGTTTAGTGGATGGGACGGCCTAGATGGACCAACATCCCTTAGTGTCCTTCAATTGTATGATATGTTAATACGAGGATGATACATATGGTGTTTAGTGTATTACAGCACAATGAAATCATGTGGTGCTTTTAGTATAAAGTAATACAAGAATGTGATGTATTTGGTGGTACATAACGAAGTGAATTATGGTGTTTAATTCCCTTTTATATAAGTAACTAACATATAGCTTTCAATGTGCTGTAACATTAGTGTTGTAATGTTTAATGTAGAAAGAGAGGGATACGGTGTTTAGTGTACACAAGTAAATGGTATGTGGCATTTATTATACAGCAACACAAGGATATTACATACGGTGTTTAGTGACGTTGGGTGTTCAATGCACTTTAGTATTATGGCTTCTTGTATGGTTGTACAAGGATGTGACTATCGCGCTAAACACCACATGTCACACCCTTGTGTAAGGAAAGAGCCAATGTTATTTTCTGTACTGTGATGTACTTATTTTGTTCTATATTGTAATGCAATAATTTGATGCACGGTCTTTAGTCTACTATAACAAAGTGGCATACTATGTTTGCTGCAATGTAATATAAAAGAGGTGGGAAGTGATTGTAGCGTGTACGGTATTACTTGGCAGTAACATAAAGATAAAACAATGCAATTAGTGTTTAGGATATGATAACACAAAGATAAAACAATGCAATTGGTGTTTAGAATATGATAACATAAGAATGGTATACATGATGTTTATCGTATATGAACAAGGAAGCTTCATGTTATATTTTCTACATTGTCGTTTAGATAAATGTAGTGATTTTTCTTCATACTGCTACGACAGCGGAAGTCGCGCGACGCTGGGAGCATGCGCTGGAGTTCTAGAAAGATCGAGGAGCCTGTCGAACGTCCTAGCGTTTGCTAGACGCGCGCTTTTATAGTATATAAGCCGTCAAATAAAGTGACGGCAATAACTGAATTGCAGACAGAGAGATATAGAGACAGATTATCGAGTCAAGCCGTAAGTAAAGTGCGTGAATCGTTGTGAATTCTGGCGTGTGTTGAAGTCAAAGTGACTGTGTAAATTAAGTGTATTGCAAAGGAGTATTGAGAAAGAATAAACTAGTTTTAATCAGGAAGGGCCTTGTATCGCGGAAGTTCTTCGGAAAGAAATCTTACGGGAAATTAACAAACGAACAGAGACATAACAATACTTTTGGGATTACTACTGATATGCTCTTACTACATTTTCAGTCTCAGTTATAAAAATAACTTAAGTTACTGGAACTTTAAAAGTTATTTAAAAAAGTAAACACAGATGAACTAAATATTCTCCCCTTTGAAAGTACTTTTTGTTTCTAAAATCAAATACATGACTACACCAAAATCGTGTAGAAACATACCTAGGCAGTCAAAAAACCTGATGTGTAGGAAACGTTGTTTCTTGTGGACTTAAAATATTTATATTCAACTTTTAGACTAATTGTGAGAATTTCAATTAATTTTCAATCATCATCTTTTTACTCAACTACCCATTTTTTGTATTAAGTAATTTATTTGGACTATCACCACGTTTTTTGTTGTTGTTTTTTAATGCACGAGCTTTCTACAAACAACTGTATCTAACGGAACAATTCGAATCACAAGTCGCCTAGCAACAACGAAAAACAAGAAAGCTTGTGCACTAAAAAGACATGGTGACAATACAAATAAATTACTTAATACAAAGATGAGTACTCACCTTAAAAGCCTGTAAAGTTACTTACCCATTTTTTATTATTTAGTTTCTAATAAGATTTGAATATATATATATTATGTATTTTAATATGTTTGTTTCTTTTTCTTGCACTCTAGACAACCAGCTATGGACAGGCTGTAATGGCGAAGAGCTTCCAGGGACGATATTTTTTAGTTGGGATTATGTCTACTAGGCCAAACTGTAAATTGCCCTGGCTTACTGTTCGGGTAACTCAGTACTTGCAGTGGATTTACAAAAATCTGGCATGATTACTATGAAATGTAAGAATATAAAAAAAAATGATATTTTTTCTGGATACGAATAAAGCCATACACACATATGTGTTTGTATGGTGAAAAAGTAGTTATTACAGTTTGAACTACAAGTTAGTTTCTCATGTTTATATAAATGTTTTTCATCAAGGAGCAGTATCCTCTGCCTTGATGTAAGTAATTGTCTTGATGTCTCATTTTTCTAATATCAAAATTTAACTCTTAAATTTATGGAAGTTAACACACCAGAACAGCCAAAGTAAACATACGTATATTTGTTACATACATCAGACACTGATAAATAGTTAAAATCATTGAAAACAAAAGCAATAGGTGAAGTACTTACAATACATTTATTTTTTAACCTCAGTCTAAACCCAATATATTATGTTGCAATGTTTCAAAACACTTGTGGTTTCGTGAACGGTATATTCACCAAATTTGGTGTTTTACTTGCACGAAATGTCTTTTTTTTTAATATTAAAATTCGAACCAAATCGAATCACAAAAACTAATAAAACATTCCTGCGAATTTAAACTTCATAAAAGCTGTTTTGGTTTTAATAACGGATTTTCCATTATTCAGCTACGCAAATTTCGGGAATAATATTATTATTATTTTTCTATCACGTAAGGATTTTTTACAAATCGGGAAGAAAAAATCTTATTTAGATCAAATTTACCACAAATATAACAGAATATGTTTGGGTCATTTACACAACCTTTTGTTGCCATAGCGACGAATAAATATTATTGAAAAGAAAAAAATAATGCCAAAGTGCACACACAAACAAATACTCTCCAGAAATGACACGTCTTGTTACCTGTTAACCGTTTATATACTAGCGATGTGTTTCTCGTGGGTTCGATAAGACTCATGTCGCGATTGGTCTAGAGAAATCTGTAGCCAGTGGTTGTCAACATTTTAAGCATAAAAATGTGACCCGATTTCAATGAAAATAGTTCACTTATGTAAAAGTGCATATGACGTTTTGTGAAAAATCTATACGTGATGAAGAAAAATAAATATTTTCGGATTCAGCGTACAGGAATTATTGTAGAACATGTAAAAATTTCAGGCCTGTGTAACTAGACTTAGACGAGAAACAACTGAAATCCTCATTTTAAATATTTTTTTACATTAACAGCTATTCTGACAATGTATGTAGAACGTTCATTAAATAATTTCCCCAAAATACTTTCTGAAAGCTTCAAGTTCCTGAAATTATAGTTTTGAACCAAGTTAATGTATAGAACGTACCTGAAATAAACAACAGATTGAATCGTTTCAAATAAATTGTCTAAATTATTTAAAATCAGAGATATCCTACAAATGTTTCTGTGAAGGCATTGATGAAGTTTGAAGTTTATAAATACACATTTAAACAAATATTTGATACACTACTGTTTACAATGAGGTCATGCTAGTTAATGGTTTGTTAGACATAAAAGCTTTCAACACCGGACTCTTGGCGATTTTTCGTGAAATTTATATGATGGTGACGAGAGTTTAAAGTAATTCCTAAGTATGATATGAAGTTTTAGGTATACAGTCCTCTGCCAGAAATGTCTGAACACCTCTTAAACATATCTCACTCACTGCTTTATGAGAGAATTCATTAGATAGGTAGTCTAGCAATGCTGTTAAGGGATGAGAAAGATGTCGAAATGTTGTGAATTGCATGCATTTAAAAGAGGGGAGATTATAAGTTGCTGGAAATGTTGTGGAAAAGCGATAAATAAATTATGTCGGTGCTTGATCATAAACAATCTACTTTGCAAAAAGTATTGAGAACTGAAGAAGTGGTGATCGTCTGAAAATCACTCACACGTATGAAGATTGTGAAAAAAAAAGACCAAAAATAACCTTTGCAACAAAGTCATAATGACTTTATTGCCCAGATGTGAATGAAGACAGTCGATGAGGCCATGCTAATTAATGTTTTGTTAGATCTAAAAGCCATCAGCACCGCACTCTTGATGATTTGTGTAGTGGTGACAGCCATTACACAAAGTTTTAAGGTAATGACCCACTATTGGTACGAATGAAGTCAAGTAGGTAAAGTACTGTGGTGTGAGCTGTATCCTGCACATTCGGCGTGAGCCTATCTGTGAAACATCTACATTTCTGAAATCCCTTGAAATTACTTATTAAATGAACATGTTTCAGGTGCCTTGACGGGGTTTGATTTTATATAGAACACCCAGTGTTTTCCAGAAGGATAATGCTTCTTATGAGAAAGTAGCTTGATCATAATTATTGCAGCATAGTCCAGATCATAACCTGATATAACATCTTTGTGATTGTCTGGAGTTGGCTAATTCGAAAGTTTAGATCTCAGTCTTCCAGTCGTCATCAAATAATCGAGCTTCAACAATAACTGGGGAGGCAGTCTGCACCATAGACATAATAATCTAGATGAGAGCGTGTCTCACATAATACAGTCATTTTGGTTTTCGGCAAAGGATGATGTTACAACGAATAGAAGTTTTTAAGAGTTGTAGTCTCTATACGATTGTTTTTACAGTCTTGGTTGGCAGTTATGTTTTCGGCACTTTCTAATTCAGGGCAAGGGCTCAATTTCATACGATGAGATTGACAATCATCAGCATCCAGATATTTAGTGTCTACATTTTTCATTGTTGTTTCCACTGCCTTGGCTGGCAAGAATTTTGGCACTAAAGGCACTGAAGTGGCCTTTTTTCTTTGCTAGAATCCCATATTTCTATGCTTTGCTTTAATGGTGTGGTTTAACCCTACAAACACTCTTCTGTTTTAAAATGCTAAAATTTTGTACCTAGTATGCCGTTTTTAATTGGATAAAAGAAAAACTTCACATCATTGAGTCTTGTAATGTAATTCTTCTAGAAAGGGTTACTTTTAGACGCCATCTCCATTTGCAAATCATCAAATTTAAAGAAAAACTTCACATCATTGAGTCTTGTAATGTAATTCTTCTAGAAAGGGTTACTTTTAGACGCCATCTCCATTTCCAAATCATCAAATTTAAAAAAAAACTTCATATCATTGAGTCTTGTAATGTAATTCTTCTAGAAAGGGTTACTTTTAGACGCCATCTCCATTTGCAAATCATCACACTTTAACCGAATTCTAACAGGACGATTAGTGCTTTTAACCTGTATAGTCACAGGTTACGGGAATGACAAGGAGGAACGTGATTGGATATGCAAACTGTTAATATATTTCATTCATTGGCAATCTTGGAGCTAATGTTAAATTTTCAAACCTCTGAAACCACTATTCAGTGGTTGGGAAATGCCTCTGGCTTTATTCAGAGAATCCTTGACTCATTGACTTCTCTGTATCGACTTATGTAATATACAACCTTTCAACATAAAGTTAATTCATCATATCTATCTAACTACTTTCCTTTTTAAGAACCCAGTAGCTTCATGTACCTGACCTGGGATGAAGTCGGTTCACATTCCAAGAAAACCAAGACACGTGTTTTGGTAAAAGCAAGAGTTAGTTCGCCTTAGCAAAGAAAATGATTTTTTTTTCAAACTAACGTGGCCACTTCAGCATTACGCACACACACACAATATATAAAAGACATTTGTAAAAAGTAATCATACTTTACCAGCAATTTAAAACGTAAGTTTGTATTAAAATTGGCATCTTACACTTGGTAAAACTTTGCTCATTTAATTTCATTACTAGTGTTTGTAAGGATATTTAGATTCTTATTCAAGTGTTCTGCCTTCATGAGAACTACTAGGCTTAATGAATGGAAACCTAAATGAGTGGAGGGATATTAGCTCTGTGTGTAATTTATTACTTTGGGCTTAAAGTATAGCTAGAGCCATGCTACGTGAAAAACCTTAGCCTATTAGGTTTAATTTATACTGCAATAATTTTATATGATAAAATAGTTAATATTTTCCCTTGTTATCATTGTTACAACTGTCCTTCTTATTTATTTTACATTGTCCTAATATCACTTATGTCTCTAAATAATAATTCATGACTAAAACTAAAATAATATCCAAGATCAAAAGAGTTTAAAATAGTATAAGCAAAAAAGTTTGAAACCTATCACTGGTTAAAAAATAGAAAACTATCTTTTTCTGATGATACATAGTCAACACCAGTCAAACGTTGTGGTTTTATATAGAATCATTACCTGTTGATAAGTTATTCACAAATATCAAAAGAAGTACAACCGGGACAAAGTACGTGAATGGTGTTGTATAGATACGATATTGAAACAATTATAGAAACGGCAAGGAAAAAGGATATAAAAGGCAAATACTACAGGATTACAACCCTTTTATCACTTGAAAATTGTAGTCATCTGTTTGATAGTTGTCACTGCGATTGTTTGTTATCCAACTAATCAGAAAGTGACACACCAATATAAAGCCTCTAAAAGTACAGGCAGTCATACTATGCCCAGTAGTAATAGTGTAATTTTAGTCATTGTTCCCAGAACTAAAATACTGCACAACAAACGTGTAGAAATTAACGTTTTGACTGATCAAAGATAGTGTATACAAAAAGCTGTGACAAGCTTCCACGTTTCGGTGAGAATTTTATGCAAGACTTTAAAGACGGTATGTGAAATAGGCATTGTTAATAATAATGGCAGAGGTATAAAACCAAAATTCTACAAGAGTGATATTATGTAACTCAAGGTGTGTTCTTAATGAGATAGCTGACAGTTGAATGCAAATCTTAACAATAACCTTGCTATAAATATACCTGTGAATGTTACCTCGAGAATAATGAAATACACATTAGTATGAAGCAATATGAACAGATATGTAGGAGCTCGAAAATCGCTGCTGAGAAGAGGTAACCAAACCAAAAGATTGAAGTGGGCATCATATCACAAACATATGTAAAGAGCAGACCTCTCCAGTTGTACTCACAACTTTCACAAAATCCAAAAAATTCTTCTCTGACGACGAGGTCTGCCACAAAATGCATACAGATAAAAACCTGTTCGCTAGTCGATTTATTGATTGCTTTGATGGCAATAGGCGAAAAACAAGAATGGTGGTTACATTTCTTAAAATCTACATGAAAACATCTCTGCCAAAATCTGGCTACCAGGGAAGGCCTGGCTTTAAATACCAAAATAAAATAGCATAAACAAAGCCAGGCTGCTCACCTCGTCTACGCAACTTCGAACCATTCACGTTCAAACACAAAGGTGA